CTCACCGCAACCTCCGCCTCCTAGGTTCAGGCAATTCTCCTGCCTCAGCCTCCCAAGTAGCTGGGATTACAGGCGCGCGCCACCATGCCCAGCTAATTTTTTGTATAAACTAAAATAGTTCTATTTCTGCAATGTTGCCAGGCTGGAATGCAGTGGCGTGATCTCAACTCACTGCAATCTCTGCCTCCCGGATTCAAGTGATTTTCCTGTCTCAGCCTCCTGAGTAGCTGGAGTTACAGGCACACACCACCATACCCAGCTAATTTTTGTGTTTTTAGTGAAGATGGGGTTTCACCATGTTGGCCAGGCTGGTCTTGAACTCCTGACCTCAAGCAATCCTCAAGCCTCCCAAAGTGCTGGGATCACAGATGTGAGCCACCACGCTGAGCTTTGGCCACATATTCTATCATTGTTGCACTTGTTTATATTTTTCCTACCTGCTGTCTCTTACTCCTTGTGCTTCCCATACTTCTCTAGTATCTTACCTTGACTTCTCCCTCAACTTCTCCTTCCCTTCACAGTCAAGTTTCCTAAAAATAATAGTAGCCATATCTTCATTTGTTTATCCCTTAAAATCTCCTATAATTGGGTTCTCATTCTCACTGTTCTACCAAAAATGATTTTAACAAAGTCATTACTTATATTCCCAACCCAGTGGCTTTTAAAATAATCAGCATCTAAGTTAGAATATACTTCAGTATTTTATACTGTTGGATATTTGAAACAAAAAATAGTAGTAGTACAGAGTAGTACAGGGAGTAGTAAAGAGACATATGACTTTGAATTACAGACAGGACATACACAAATGAAAAGTTCCACAGACAACTGGAACATGTGAGTTGCTAAACAAAGATTTGTAAGTTATCTATACAGATTTAGAAATTGAAGAGTTGAGAGCAGATATCAGAGAGAAGATACAATAAGAAAGACTGCTGAGAAGAGAACTCTCCAGAATACCAACATTTAGAGCAGGTGAAGAAACGAAGAGTTTAGGAAGGAAACTGGATGAAGCAATCAGAACACCAAGAGTGAGTTGTTATCTAAGAAAATTTTCTGTACAGGAATAACTTAAGAAAAGGCCTAATAGTTTTAATAAATAGGTTACAGGCTACTTGAGGACACAGCTTATTTTTATTAAGTAATCAATAAGTCATTGATGGACTGAATATTTCCTATAATATGAAACAGTATAATTAACAGTTTTTTTCTCCTTTCTAATCTTACTGTGATTTATAATAGAATTTACAGCTGTATCATAGAGGCCACTGAAGTACTGCTTCACCCTTTCAATTAATCAGTGAGATCTGATTTCTTTCTTAAAAGGGCTTAAAATGCTTTTAACTACTATAAAGATTATGATTAAGAGTTTGCTCTTTAATTCCCAAAAAGCTTGAAATTGTTTTCTGAAACACATAATTTACTTTAAAAACATTCAATTTACAATTATAGGTACTCATATGGTAATTTTGCTGCTCTCAGTTTATACTATTTCTTCCGCTAGAGAGAAATTATGTATTAATACAAAGACTCAATTACCAGGCACCCCCTAGTGGCAGTAAAAGCAAGTTAAGAAGTTTTTTTTTTGTTTGTTTTTTTAAATAGGACATGGTTTGAGATATAGTTTTCTGTATTTATACTTCCTTAACAAAACTTAAGAATGGGATACTGTCAGTGAACAATTTAAGAACTATTTTACTTTATTTTATTTAGAGACAGGGTCTTGCTCTGCTGCCGAGGCTGAAGTGCAGTGGTATGATCACAGCTCACTCTAACCTCGAACTCTTGGGCTCAAGCAATTCTCATGCCTCAGCCTCCTGAGTAGTTAGGACTCCAGGTGTGTGCCACGACACACAGCTATTTCACAAAAATTTTTTGTAGAGATGCAGTCTCACTATGTTTCTCCAGGCTGGCCTCAAACTTCTACCCTCAAGTGATTCTCCCACTTCAACCTCCCAAAGTGTTGGGATTATAGGTATGAGCCTATACTCCCATAATATACTGTAACTTAGAGTGAATTCACACACTGAAATTTCATCCAAATTCTTAAGAATTATAAGTGAGATAATACACACAAATGCAAGAATACAAGAATATATACATAAACCTTCCCATTTTACTCTACCAATTACAGAATTGGTAGATTCATTTGCCAATTCCCAAATATAACACTTAGAATCATAATTACTCTTTTCTCCTTTTAAAATTACAAATTAGGTTACAAATTACAACTAAGATTTCTATGAATCTATCGATAACAAAATTCTGCAAAAGCAAATCAGTTTGATTCATTAGAAAGTCTAGTACAAAGCAAGTTTATCTACCATTTTTGATAATATGATATTCTATATAACTTACTGGGATATTGTTTGTTTGATTCTACTATATAGTTAAGATGCCAAAACTTATTTTTATTTTTATTTATTTATTTTTTTTGAGACGCAGTTTCACTCTTGTTACTCAGGCTGGAGTGCAATGGCGCGATCTCGGCTCACCGCAACCTCCGCCTCCTGGGTTCAGGCAATTCTCCTGCCTCAGCCTCCCGAGTAGCTGGGATTACAGCCACGCACCACCATGCCCAGCAAATTTTTTTGTATTTTTAGTAGAGACGGGGTTTCACCATGTTGACCAGGATGGTCTCGACCTCTTAACCTCGTGATCCACCCGCCTCAGCCTCCCAAAGTGCTGGGATTACAGGCGTGAGCCACCACACCCGGCCCCAAAACTTATTTTTATTTGATGAATCACAAAATAAAACTCACAACTCAAAAATAATTACCATTAGCTTTTAAGGTTCTGTATGGATTTTGTTTTGTTTTTTAAATTGCCTCCCACAAAATCAGCTTTTAAGATATATGTTATTTTAAAAATCTCTCATTTTATTAAGATATACTGAATAAACATACTACAAGAAGTAAACACTGGCTTTGAAGTTATGTTTTAATAAAATGTGCATTAATATGACTTTTACATTAGCAGGAGTCTTCATTTGTCCTTCCTCACACTACATTTTTTGTTCACCTTTGAATTTTTCTCCCTTTCTTATTCTTCCAACACAAGAAACAGAATCATTATAACTTGGTAAAAGTCCTCAGAGCCAAGTAGAGAAGGATACTTTAATGCTATATAAAGTACTCATTTTCCAATAAACACTGGAGAATGCTTCTTTGTTATTCTTCTAAAACAAGAACAGAATCATTATAACTTGATAAAAATCCACAAAGCCAGCTAGAGAAGGATACTTTAATACTATATAAAGTATTCATTCTCCAATAAACACTATATAAAGTATTCATTCTCCAATAAACACTATATTTCAGCAGCCCGGTAGACTCCTACTTGCCTAGGGAGTGAGCAATTGGCAACCAAACTAAGGTCAGCTACATGGCAATGAAGAACATTTCCATTAGCCCAGGAAGACATTTCGATAAAAAAATTAATCCATTTAATCATGCTACTGGAAAGCAACAGATTATAAACAATGATATCTCCTGTCTGCTTTTAATTATATGGCTTACATATTTTATGACAGTGATTACGCTTTGTTAACTAACCTACAAAATAATGTTCTATCTGACTAGATACAGAACCATATCTGTAACTCTTTAACTTAATCTCATCTGAAGTATATATTAGCATTATTATAAACACATGGCCTGTAAGTTTGTTTTTGTAATTTTGTTACTATGTGCAAATTCCACATTTTATTAATATATGATCTAAACATAGATTATAAAGAGCAATCCAAGAACTCTTTAAATTCTTAACCCCAAACAAACTATTAACAGACCATGAAATAAAACTACACAAGATTTAACTTTTCAGTTCAGTGATTTCTACTTGAGTGAAGCCGAATTTAATTTTCTTTTTGCTACTATCTACATAAAAATTAAGATATTTGGTAAGTGGTGGGGAGAAAGCTTGACAATATTCAAAGTTTAGGGACACAGGTCTCTACCACAAAAAACCACCAAGTTGTATTTCAGAGAGAAAAATTTATAAGTGAGATAATACATGCAAATGCAAGAATGCAAGAATATATACATAAACCTTATATATACATAAATAGAAAATTAAAAAATTACAAACATAGTTCTGGAATAATACTGTATGAAAACATTCTTCATAAAAATTATCACTAGCATAATCATTCACTATAGATCAGTTTGCTTCATTTAGCAATAAAAAAACATAACATATAATTAAAAATTAAAATCATGTGATCATTGTATAAATGTATTGAATTCCACTGTGAAAACTGAAAAAACAATGAGACCCTCTATTCCAAACAGAGAGAAAATCTTAATAAAAAATTTATATCGCTGGGCACGGTGGCTCATGCCTGTAATCCCAGCACTTTGGGAGGCCAAGGCGGACGATAACCTGAGGTCGGGAGTTTGAGACCAGCCTGACCAACATGGAGAAACCTTGTTTCCACTAAAAATACAAAATTAGCTGGGTGTAGTGACACATGCCTGTAATCCCAGCTACCCAGGAGACTAAGGCAGGAGAATCGCTTGAACCTGGGAGGTGAAGGTTGCAGTGAGACAAGATTGCCTCCAGCCTGGGCAACAAGAGCAAAACACGGTCTCAAAAAAAAAAAAAATTATATTAGTGTTTTTCAAGCTTTACTCTGCAGAGCTCAATGAATTTTCCTCAGAGGTATGTGTCTTTGGCAATGAGAGCGATTAGAATGCTATTTACATTTCCTTTTCCTTCCAACTTGAATCCTTCCCCTTCAGTCAGAGAAACACCATTTTGACTATTTAAAAAAATTATACTGAAGTTCTGCTAAAAATTTTAAAGTGGTATAAGAAGATTATATCACTAAAACAAACTACCCAGACCAAATTTTGTCAAAACTGACATACTTCATAGTAGTTGGTAAGGTCAAGCTTCAACAAGATTTGTATTTGATTTAATTTTGAGGCTCATATACAACTTAAAGCAATTTTAACAACTGAGGTTGTATTTCAGATTCCCAGGAAATATAAACACCTTACCCAGCATGACTAGATGATGAAGGTGGTGGCAAATCCGGTGTAAGGACATAAAGACTGTTGTTTTTTGGCAAGTGTAGCGATTTTAGGACCGTCTGCAAAAGAAAAAATAAAACAACAAAAAAAATGAAGGTTGATTATGTTGATTATTCATTACTGATTTTTCCTATAATTTTTGAAAAATTGTTAATTTTATAGTTTGATTTTCTTCATCTTTTGATAATTTCCTAAATAGGTCAATGCAGAAGAACTACTGAATCCAAGTAACCTTATTTCCCATATGTAATAGAGTATATCTGGAGTGTATGTGTGTATATATATACGTATGTGTGTGTATATATATATATATATATATATATATGTAGATATATACACACATACACTCCAGACTTTGTTTGTTAAAGCTCTCACTCTTTGGAATGAGTAAACTACTACTGGGCTACATATGACCTACTATTTTCATAATATATATATATAGCATATATATATATATATTATATATGGGAAATATGGTTGTATACCTATATAACTGTATGTATACAACATTCAGGTTTATGCTGGTTTACTTTATGTATGCGCGTGTATATATACACACACATATATACATATATAAAATAAACTAGCATAAACCTGAATGTTAATATATAAACTCTTTAGTTCATGAAGCAAAACAAATATAAAAGAACACAGTTGGGACTCAATTACTTTTTAGATCCTTGCAATTAATATATACTTCATTTCAGGATCATCATGGCAAAAATTAGGAATACAGGTTTTCATAGATCATTAGACCTTGAAAAGATCACTCAGAGTACCTTAAATCACTGATTTTATAGATGGGAAGCTATATAGCCTGAAAGGCTAAGTAACTGGGATGAGGTCTTTAGTGTTACCTAGATATCTTACTCCAGATGTCTTTTTTGTTAAAGTTCTCTCTTTTTGGAGTGAATAAACTCTACTATTGGCCTACATACGACCTACTATTTTGATAAGCATAGAAAATTTCACTACATTTGTTTGCCAGAAAACTCACATACATTTCAAACTCCTAACCTGAAGGGAAAAACTTGCTGAGGTACTTCAAACTTTTCTTGACAGCAATATACATTGAGAAATACATTGTACATCTTTATATCATAAGCCAGGACATGTACTTATTCAACAGATATTTATTGAGCCACCTACTCTGTATCAGAACTACTCCAGTCACTGAGAATATAGCAGTGAACAGAATAGCCTAAAATAAAATTCTCTGATCTTATGGAGCTTACATTTTAGTTGGAATAAATAAAATAAGTAACCCTAAATAGTTGAATGCTGAGGGTGACAATTTTTTGACTAAACATAAAAGCAGGGAAGTGGGGAGAAAGAACGTGGGGATTGGGAGCTTGAAAATTTTAAACAGGATGATCAAAGTGGGTCTCACTTGGAGAACGTGACATTTGAGCAAAAATTTAAAAACAAACCATGAAAATATACAGAGAAAGCATATATTCTTTCCTGGGAAGGGGCAATCTTACCCAAGCATGGAACATAAGGAACTTATTCTTGACCCCTCCATGAGAAGACCCAGCTTATTAAGGCGTGCAGTCTTAATTCAAGGGCATCGATTGACTCGTATTAGTTACGTGTTAAATGAAAAGAAATACATAATTATCTTTATTAGTTCAAATACACTCTGGTGTTTCCTATACTATTCTATTTCTCTTCTTTAATTTCCTTCTTCTTTTTTTTTTCCTTTGGTTTAATGCTGTTGACTGTAACCCACTCAATTAACTTCTCAATCCATTAATGGTTTATGGTCCACGGTTTGAAAAGAACATTGAATTAGGCAATTACCTATAACTTCACAATCTCCCAGGAGACACTGACATCCTGAAACTTTATGTCAGATATGTGATATCCTTTTCAAATTGATGAGTTATCTCTATAGAGTTAACATGCAAACAAACAACACACACACACAAATTATTTTTAGTTTTTTTTATCTTTTCATTGTTTTACTTTGTGAATTATTGGTAAATGCTTGTCATTTGATCAAGTCATTTTTGTCCTTTTGCCATGCCACTATCCAAAGATTTTCTATTAAATCTTTCTCATCAAGCCACATATGGCAAGATTAAATAAAATGTGTATTTTCCTTAAGTCAATTATTCATGCATTCATCCTATAAACATTTATTTCAGGTCAGTTATGCCAGGCATTAAATATACAATGATGAAAAAACAGATATGGTCCCTCTATTAATACTGATGTGATGGAGAATGCTGGGATGGGAGCCAAATTAGATACAGAACCCTGTTGGAGAAGGTAACTTTAAGCTGAGACTTGAATGATGAAAAAGAGTCAGCCATGTGAAGAACTGGAGGAAAAGCATTCCAAGCAGTTGAATAACATCTGTCAGATAAACATGTAAAGAGCTGGAGCCTACTAAAAGATTTCAAAAAAGGTTTCTGTGGCTGCAGCACGGAAAGTGAGAATAAGAAAGGTTCAAGATGATGTTGTAGAGGTGAGAATGGGGTAAACAATACAATACCTTTTAAACTATTGTGAGTAGTCTGAATTTTATTTGAAATGTAATAAAAAGTTATCTTTTAATGGGAGAGTGATATAATTGAATTTATGTTTTTTTTAAGAGATCACTCTGCTGTGTGAAGAATGCACTGGAAGAAACACTGAAAGGAAGCTGAGACAACAATAATGAAATTATCATATTGCTCCAGACAAGAGATGCTCATGGCCTGAATTAAGCAGTTGCAAAAGAAATACTAAAAAGTGGTCGTGGTTGAGATATATTTTGGAGACAGAATCTATAGGATTTACCAAAGGATTAGGTATTTTAAGAAATAAGAAAAGACTGCTGGCCACATGTTAAGTTTGAGACACCAATAAGATATACAAGTACAAAAGTCAATTACCAATATGAATATGTGAATTCATAAAAGTGTAAGCTAGAAATATAAACTTGGAGGCAATCAGAAAATTAATGGTACGGGAATAGCAGAAATCCCCTAGGGAAAAGAGTATATAGAAATAAGTATCCTGTGATGAGGAAGCAGAACAAAATTTAAAAAAAAAAGAAGTAAGTAACTACGGCTGGGTGCCACAGCTCATGCCTATAATCTCAGCACTTTGGGAGGCTGAGGCAGGAGGATCACATGAGCCCAGGAATTCAAGACCAGTCTGGACAACATAGCAAGACCCTGTCTCTACAAAAATTAAAAAAAAAAAAAAACTAGTCAGGCGTGGTAGTGCACATCTGTAATCCTAACTACTTGGAAGGCTGAGGCAGGAGGATCACTTGAGCCAAGGAGGTCAAGGCAGCAATGAGCCATGGTTGTGCCACTGCACTCCAGCCTAAGGAACAGAATGAAAGAAAAAAGAACAAATAAGTAACTCAAAGTATTTGTAATCAAGACTGTGTTCAAATCTTGAGGTGGGGGGGGTGGAGGTGGGGGATACAGACTTTTGCTCTGTCGCCCAGGATGGAGTGTAGTGGCAGATCTCAGTTCACTGCAACCTCCACCTCCCAGGTTCAAGCAATTCTTGTGCCTCAGCCTCCCAAGCAGCTGGGACTACAGGTGTGTACCACCACGCTCAGCAAATTTTTGTATTTTTAGTAGAGATGGGGGTTTCGCCATGTTGTCCAAGCTGATCTCAGACTCCTGGCCTCAAGTAATCTGCCAGACTCAGCCTCCCAAAGTGTTGGGATTACAGGTGTGAGCCATTGCACCCAGCTGACTGTGTTCAAATGTTAGAATACATAGCTTAAAGAAAATTTTCTTTCAATCCCAGCCTGCTGCCTGGTTTTGTATGGCCTGTGAGTTAAGAATGGTTTTCACTTTTTTTAATGGTTGAAAAGAAATCAGAAGAATATTTTATGGCATGTGAAATGACGTAAAATTCAAATTTCTGTGTCCATAAGCACAGTGAAACACAGTTATGCCCGCTGTTTCACATATTGTCTACGTGTGCTTTCCCACTAAGAGAGCAGTGATTGAGTAGCTGTATGACACACAAAGCCTAAAATATTTACTACCTGTCTCTGTACAGCTAAAATAGCACATCTAAATTTATCCATATCTTGCCAACCCCAGATTCCTATGAGTACCTCACTGAAATACTCAGAACATCCCCAAGTTTCAAATGAACTTACATATAAGTACTTATAAGCACAATGGCTACAAGAAGCCATTCACAAAAAAGACTTGAACCAAAAGTTGAAGGTTTTTGTTTCCTTGTTTGTTTTTGAGACAGAATCTTGCTCTGTCACCCAGGTTGGAGTACAGTGGTGCAATCTCAGCTCACTGCAGCCTCTGCCACCCAGGTTCAAGCAATTCTCCCATATCAGCCTCCCGAGTAGCTGGGATTAAAGTGGCATGCTACACCCAGCTAATTTTTGCATTTTTAGTAGAGATAGGGTTTCACCATGTTGGCCAGGCTGGTCTCGAACTCCTGATCTCAGATGATTCACCTGCCTCCCAAAGTGTTGAGATTATATAGGCATGAGCCACTGCGCCTGGCAAAAAGTTGAAAATTCTAAGTTTATTCCTGGCCATTAAAATGACTCAGTAACTAATGTGAAAAGATTCAGTAATTATTTCCACCTCAAACATCTAAAACTAAGCACTAACTCATTTTCTTCCCTCTTTTTCCACTCTTTCTGGAAAAAAAAAAAAAAAAAACATGCACAGTAGTTGACACCTGTAATCCTAGCACAGGATTGGGTGGATCATGAGGTCAGGAGTTGAAGACCAGCCTGGCCAACATAGTGAAACCCTGTCTCTACTAAAAATACAAAAATTAGCTGGGCACAGTGGCATGGGCCTGCAGTCCCAGCTACTTGGGAGGCTGAGGCAGGAGAATTAGTCGAACTCAGGAGGTGGAGGTTGCAGTGAGCCAAGATCATGCTCCTGTACTCCAGCCTGGGCAATGCAGTGAGACTCATTTCAATTAAAAAAAAAAAGTATGCAAACAATTTTATACCTGAGGTTGCTACTGGGTCCCTGAGAATAGCAACTATTTCCTTAAAATTGTCACACTTTCTGCAAATTCTTAAAATATAATTCATTCCATGCACCTGCCACTATCAAAGTCAGCAAAGAAAACAACATTCTTACCATTTAAATTCTACAAGTTTAAAAAGTTTCCCATTATCTTTGTTCCATAATCAATACTTTACATAAATGTATACACTTAATGTGACTTCTTTCCAAACCAATATGTAATTGCTTAGAAAATTATTATTCCAGGGGATTCACTGATACTCTAGGTGGTTTGAGAAAAAGGTAAAGGCTCTCAAAAAGAAGGCAAAACTCCTTTACAAGTTAGAAATAGGAAAAACATGCCATACACTGTTTGCATTTACAAACCTAACTCATTTAAAATTGTTACTGGTTTATCGTGAAATGTTTTAGCTTAGAAAACATTATTTGCTGATTCCTTAAACTAAATTACTATTACCAAACCTACTTCTGCTATATGTAACACTAATTAAAACCAATTTTTACATATCATTTAATCAATGGCATAACTTAATTTTCTTTTATTTCTATGCAGTTAAGAAACTCACACTGTCTTCCACATCTCCCGTCTTCCAGCCTTTTAACAGCATTTTGGACACAGGTATCTGAAGTTCATTTTCTAGAATCTGTTTAATCTCTCCTGTATAAATAAGAAGAGATCAAATATTACTAACAAAATAATACAGTCAACATTTGTCCATATCCACAGCTAACACTAATATGTGGCATACAGCATATAGTCAATGACATGTGCCTAATGAATATTTCTGTATCCATAAAATGGGAATATTATTTATCTTACCTTGCCCTAGGATCTGAGGATGACAAAAGATAGCATATATTAATGAAACTAAAAAATAAAGCTAGCCTGGGTGTGGTTGCTCACGCCTGTAATCCCAGCACTTTGGGAGGCCAAGGTGGACAGAACACCTGAGGTCAGGAACTCAAGACTGGCCTGACCAACATGGTGAAACCCTGTTGAAACCCTGTCTCTACTAAAAATACAAAAAAAAAATAGCCAAATGTGGTGGCGCACACCTGTAACCCCAGCTACTCAGGAGGCTGAGGCAGGAGAATCACTTGAACCCGGGAGGTGGACGTTGGAGTAAGTCAAGATCATTCCACTGTACTCCAGCCTGGGCGATGAGAAAAACCACATCTCAAAAAATAAATAAATAAAGCTAATATATAGAAGACAATTTCTATTGTGTTAAAGAGAAAAACAACAAGAACTTCAGAAAAGAAAACAATGTTGATACGGTTTGAATTGTGGCCCTGCTCATCTCATGTCAAGTTGTAATTCCTAGTGTTAGAGGTGGGGCCTGATGGGAGGTGATTAGATCATAGGGGGCTGATTTCCCTCTTTGATGCTGTTCTTGTAGTAGGGTTCTTGTGAGATCTGGTTGTTTAAAAGTGTATGTCACCTTTCCTTTCTCTCTCTCTTTCTCCTGCTCTGGCCTGCTCTCACTTTGTCTTCTTCCATAAGTAAAAGCTCCCTGGGCCTCCTCAGAAGCAGATGCTGCCATGCTTCCTACACAGCCCATGGCACCATGAACCAATTAAACCCTTTTCCTTTATAAATTACCCAGTCTCAGGTATTTTTTATAGCAGTGTGAAACCAAACTAATAGAGAAAATTGGTACTGAGGAGTGGAACACTGCCATAAAGACACTTGAAAATGTGTGGAAGTAACTTTGGAAATGGGTAATGGGCAGGGGCTGGAAGAGTGTGGAGAGCTCAGAAAACAAGAAGATGAGGGAAAATTAGTAACTTCATAGAGATGTATTAAATTGTTGTGACCAAAATGCTGACAGTGATATGGACAATGAAGTCAGATGGAAATGAGGAACTTACTGGGAACTAGAGCTAAGGTCACTTCTGTTACGTGTTAGCAAAGAACCTGGTGGCATTGTGCCCCTGTGTAGAGATCTGTGGAACTTTGAGTTGAGAATGATGACTTAGGGTATCTAGAGGAAGAAATTTCTAAGGAACAAAGTATTCAAGATGTTGCCTGGCTGCTTCTAGTATCCTACATTCATATGTGTGAGCAAAGAAATGACCTGAAACGAATTATATTTAAAAGTAAAGCAGTAAAAGTTTGAAAACTTTGTAGTTATGTGATAGAAAAGAAAAGTCCATTTTTAGGGGAGAAATTCAAGCATCCTGCAGAAATTTGCATAAGTAAAAAGGAGCCAAGTGCTGATAGCTAAAACAATGGAGAAAAGGCCGGCCTCAAAGGCATTTTAGAGACTTTAACTGCAGCCCTTGCCATCACAGGCCCAAAGGTCTACATGTGGCAAGGCCCAGGGCCTCACCACCCTCACAACCTCAGGACACTGCTCCCTGCATCCTGGCTGCTCTATCTCCAGCCATGGCTCAAAGGAAGCTGGGTACAGTTTGGGCCGCTGCCATGTGGTGTTAAGCCTGCAGGTGCACAGAATCCAAGAGTTGAGGCATGGGTTTAGATTTCAGATGATCTATCGAAAAGCCTGGATGTCCAGGCAGAAGTCTGGTAAAGGGGCAGAGCCCTCATAGAGATCCTCTTTCTGAGAGAGTGCAGAGAAGAAATGTGGGGTTAGATCCTCACATACACAGTCTCCACTGGGGCACTGCTTGGTGGAGCTGTGAGAAAAGGGCCAGCATCATCCAGACCCTGGAATGACAGGTCCACTAATACCCTGAACCTGGACAAGCCACAGGCACTCAACACCAGCCCTTGAGAGCAGTCATGGAAGCTGAACCCTTCCAAACCACTGGGGTGTAGCTGCCCAAGGCCTTGGGAGCCCACACCTGGCATCATTGTGTCTTGGATATGAGACAAGGAGTCAAGCAGGATTATTTGGAACATTAAGATTTAATGACTGCCCTGATGGGTTTCAAACTTGCACAGCCCCGTTATTTTGGCCATTTTCTCCCTTTTACCCAATGCCTATACCCTTATTGTATCTTGGGAGTAAGTAACTTGCTTTTGATTATACAGGCTCATAGGTGAAAGGGACCAGCCTTATCCCAGATGAGACTTCGGACTTTTGAGTTAATGCCAGAATAAGTTAAGACTTTGGAGGACTGCTGAGAAGGGATGACTGTATTTTGCAATGTGAGAAGGACACGAGATTTGGGAGGGGCCATGGGTGAATTTACATGGATTTGCATCTCCACCCAAATCTCATGTTAAATTATAATCCTAAGTGTTGGTGATAGAGTCTGGTATGAGGTTACTGGATCATGTGAGGCAGATTTCCCCCTCTGGGGCTGTTCTCATGATACAGTTCTCATGAGATCTGGTTGTTTAAAAGTGCATGCCACCTCCCCACTCTCTCTCTTCCTCCTGCTCCAGCAATGTGAAGATGTCTGCTCCTGCTTTGCCTTCTACCATGAGTAAAAGCTCCTGAAGCCTCTCCAGAAGAAGATGTTTCCATGCTTTCTGTACAGCCTACAGAGCTGTGAACCAATTAAACCTTTTTTTCTTTATGAATTACCCAGTCTCAGGTATTTTTTTTCATAGTAGTGCCAGAACAGACTAATACAAATGTGTTGTATCAAATAGCCAGAGAAGGCTTTGTGAGAGAAATGAGACTTAAAACAAACTTGAAGTATAGCTGGTCTGTGAAGGACAGACAAACCAAAATAAGGAAGGAAACTCTATACAGTGAAGAAAAATGACTGAAAGGTAAAAAAGCAAAAATAGGCATGATGCTAATGAAAAACAGTGAGAAATCACAATTTTCCCAGTGCTCCACAAATTCTTTTTCAGCAATCAAATCTACCTATAAATTAATCAGCTGATTTCTGGTACTATACTATTTTAAAGATCACTGAATCAGAATGTACTAATCTTTCATGCATCTGCTTATGTTAGGCTGCTGCTAGTCTACAGTTTCAGATTAAAATGTAATTTAGTTCCATTTATATAAGCATATGAATGTCAAAAAGACTGATTATATTACATATTAAAAGAAGAAAAATAATTCCATGCTAAAGAAAAAGAAGGGTGAGGGGAAAACATGATACACAAGTTCTACGGGAACACAATTACCTAAGTAAGCAATGCTACAATGCAATTAATTATTCATGGCCTCAGTGATATTTTTTAACTTTCCTTAAAAAGATCCCTATCTGAGCACTTTAAATAGTGATTAACTATCATAAAAATAATTCTGTTTCAACATTATAGTTGTGGAAGCAAAAACTTTAATCAATCTTGGCCTTCAAAACTGTCACTGCTGACAAAGAATCATTCTCATTCTGTTTATAGAAACAGTAGAAAAATAAGCCACAGTTTTTATACCAAACACATATAAACATTGTCTTTTGGCTGGTGGCTGTGGTTGCTGTTTCTAGAACTACACCTGTGTGGAACTGGGCTTATGTATTTGCAAGTCTGGCCAGTGCTCAGAAACCAATCTCCAAGACCTGCACCACTGTCATACACTCTTGAAAACACTCTGAGCCTTCATGACTTACAAGAAGTTTCTTAATGGAAAAACAAGAAGGAATTTTAACTTAAAGTCCCAGTTACTCTTGCAGAAAGCCTGGGTAACACATAAGACAAACAGCGTTTTGATCCACAGGAAGAGAGAAACAGAAAACTAAGTTGGAATCATAACAGCAACCTGTGTTCCTCACATTTTAAAAATTATTCTCTATTGCAAGGTGGCTCATGCCCATAATCCTAGCACTTTGGGGGCCAAGGTAGAAGGACAGCTTGAGCTCAAAAGTTTGAGACCAACCTGAGCAACATAGTGAGACATCACCTCTACAAAAAATTTTTAATAATTAGCCAGGCATGGTGGTACATGCCTGTAATCCCAGCTATTTAGGACAGTGAGGTAGAAGGAATGCTTGAAATCAGGAGATGGTGGCTGCAGTGAGCCATAATCGTGCCACTGCACCCCATCCTGGATGACAAAGTGAGAACCTGTCTTCCTCCCTCAAAAAAAAAATATCTATTGGCCTCGATCTCATCTTCTGTGAAGTGGAAATGATAATTATAGAAACAACACTTCATTGGGTTGCTGTATTAAGTGATGTAATTCATGAAAAATGTTTTGCAGAGTGCTTAATACATACTGAGAAACTCAAAAAATGTTGATTATTTTGAGTCGTATTGTTATTACAATTAATGAGATAACATACACGTAAGTGTCTAGTATAGTACCTGGGCAGTACAGGTTCTCAAAACACAGTAGTTATTATTTATTGTTTTTATGATACCCAAAATAATTCAGGGGAACAAAGTACTGAAATGTAGCAAGTTTCAAAGCCTGAATTCATATTTGTGTCTGCCTGACTCCAAAAATCTTACCACAAGATGGCACTGCCACTACAGTATCCCACCCCCGGCCATGTTCCTTGAAAAGACATGCAGATGTCATCAAGAATAAATCACTGAATCCAATAGCATACTTTTATATTAAAAAAAAATTAACTTAAGTGCTTGCTTTGGGGGCATATATACTAAAACTGGAACAATACAGAGAAGATTAGCATGAAAAATAAGAATTTTAAAAAATTAAGTTAATTGGATTATGATTTATATACAATAAAATTCACTTGTGAGTTCTGACAAATATATACTGTTGTAACCACCATAGAATCAAGATAAAGAACATTTCCCGTAGCACAGTTTCCTCACATACT